ACTATGTGCCAGCAACATTCTAAACACTTTGACTATATGTAAATATATATACTCTCTTTTTGATTATACTGAAATTGGCTTATATGTTAGCAAAAATCTAGCTAAATGGGTACTATATTCTGAGAAAAACTTTGTCATTTGATTTATTTAATGATTTTACCTTTCAGCAGGTTTCAGTAAGTAATTTGATTTTTTTGTTTGTTTGTTTGTTTTTTTTTGGAGACGGAGTCTCTCTCTGTGGCCCAGGCTGGAGTGCAGTGGCCGGATCTCAGCTCACTGCAAGCTCCGCCTTTCGGGTTCACGCCATTCTCCTGCCTCAGCCTCCCGAGTAGCTGGGACTACAGGCGCCCGCTACCTCGCCCAGCTAGTTTTTTTTGGTATTTTTTAGTAGAGACGGGGTTTCACCATGTTAGCCAGGATGGTCTTGATCTCCTGACCTTGTGATCCGCCCGTCTCGGCCTCCCAAAGTGCTGGGATTACAGGCTTGAGCCACCGCGCCCAGCCTCAGTAAGTAATTTGAAAGAAGTCCTGTTAATATCATGGCATAATATTTTCTTGAGATTAAAGTCAAAAAACGTAAAGCTTGCCAGGGACTCTGAATTCATAATGTGGATACTGGATCATTCCAAGCTCAGTAAACAAAAGTTTGAAAATAGAAAAGAAGACAAAAGAATAGAAAAGGCCTCTTCTTCTATATAAATTATAACTGGACTTGGAACTAAAGGTATTTGCAAAGAAAGAAACAAACTCCCAAATAGGTGTAGTGATCAAATTTTCTAGGTTTTCCAAGTTCAACTTCATTTCATACAGTTTTTTTTTTTTCCATCAAATGTAATTTGTTATATGTGTAAATGGGATATCATTTCTATTCCTTTTTTTTTTTTTTTTTTGAGACGGAGTTTCGTTCTTGTTGCCCAGGCTGGAGTGCAGTGGCACGATCTTGGCTCACCGCAACCTGTGCCTCCCCGGTTCAAGCAATTCTCTTGCCTTAGCCTCCCAAGTAGCTGGGATAACAGGCATGCGCCACCACGTCTGGCTAATTTTGTATTTTTAGTTATCCCTGCCCGCGGGATCGTCGAAGCAGGCCCTGGAGGAGGGAGTGGGAATTTGGGGAACAAGACACACGACAAATGGAGACAAGACAGTGCTCTGATCAAGTCTCGTTTAATGGCGGTAATGCAGTGCCTTATATACACTTGGAGAGGAAGGGGTTGGGCCAAGATGGAAATGATCTCATTTCGGAGGGCGTGGCCAGGCAGGTTTCGGTTTCAACGGTCGGAGGTCATGTTGCACCTGCGCTATAAAGTAACAATTTTCGCGTGCGCGGGAAAGATGGGTGAAGAAGAAGCAGGAAGAGCGCCATCTTGTGTGAGGTATTTAATACAGGGGAAAAGGACAAATCTAGGAAGGAGGTGAGAGGTGGAAATGAATAGCGCTCAGGCGTTTAATCGTCAATAATTACTCGCTATGGCCGGGGCGCGCAGCTCCGGACATTTAGTAGAAATGGGGTTTTTCCATGTTGGTCAGGCTGGTCTTGAATTCCCAACCTCAGGTGATCCACCCGCCTCGGCCTCCCAAAGTGCTGGGATTACAGGCGTGAGCAACCCCACCCAGCCATCATTCCTATTCTTTTGTCATATCTTGCCAAAAAAGGGGGATTAGGGAGCTGAAGGTCATCCAACTAGTTTATCACCAGAATATGTAGTCCCTATAACCCTCCTGGTTGTGTGGATTGACCTCTTGATATTTTCTCATTGTATTTGAATCAGAACCTCTAAGTGTTTCTTTTGTTTAGTTTTGTTTTGTCTGTGTTTAGTTGTATTACCCTGCTTTGTTCTTTAAAACAATTTGAAATGCCTTATATCGTGATTTGTTATTTACTTTTTCCTTCTTCCTATGAATCTGTGGTTTACTTTGCTATATACCAGCAGAAGTTATGTAAATTTTTGGGGTCAGTCTGTGTGGTCAGTTTCTGTCATTTTTGTTAGTAAATGCTCCACTGGATGGTATTTTCACTATGAACAGTATGTGGAACAAATAATAAACCATGTCTGACAAGTAGAATGTGCTCCCAAACCCACTTCTGGGCCTGTTGTAGATCCAGTTTTCATTCTGACTTGGCATTCTACCTGTCGTTAGTTTTCTACCGTCAACCCTGCCAGCCATTTATTATTCACAAGGCAGAATCGGTTACCTTATTAATGTATAGGCTTCTTGACATAATTACCAGTTTATATTGTCACTTGTGTCTCTTTTTAAATATATTTTTTACTTTGAGCCTCATTTTCTAAAGAATAGCTTTTTTTCTATGCTGTTCCATTAAATGGGCTTTCAAGAGGCTATATCTTTAGGCCAAACTATATCTTTAGTAATGGCTTGTGTTTGAGCCAGAGAATAGCAAAGCCCACATATGTGTATACTGTTCATAAGTGGCATATTTCCCAGCGTCATGCTAAACCTCAGCTGCTTTTATAATAAAAGCATCATTTCTGTTCATCGGAGTATTCAGATGAAAACACGTATGTAGCTCCTGAGCTACTTTTACTGAAGATATGTTGGAGTACTGTGAAATAGAACATTCCTGATTTTAGTGTCTCAAAATGGAAGCATCCCTGTATGTGTTCTGTTGTATAGTTATTACTCATAACTTGTTACCTCTCTTTTTTTATTATTATTGTTTATTAACTGTGACACAACTGCATTGGAGACTGGTCAGCTCTCCATCATAGTAGCTGAGGACCTGCAATTTGGAACTAAAAGGATCTTGATTTGAATATTGGTTTCACCAGATACCCACTTTGCAGCCACAAACGAGTTTTGTAACCTTGCTGCACTTAGTTTACATCTGTAAAATGAAGAAAATGACAGTATCTACATTATAAGGTTGCAATGAGGATTAAATGAGATGACACTTGTAATGTGCTTAGCAATAGAGCCTGGCACCTACAAGCACTTAATAAAACCAATGTGGCTATTATTCTTTATCTACATTTACCACATTCCTCCTATGTACTAGGTGTGGTCCTGGGTATTGAGAATACAAAGAAGAAAAAGACATGGTCCCTGTCCTCAGAATCCCAGAGTATTGTGGTACAGACACATTTAGAGAAAAATTAAAATACCAACATGATACAAAAACTATGAACCTTGGCTATTTTAGGGATGTCAAGGGACATATTTTATCTCCACTTGAAATTCTTTATATCATGCACATGGATTACTTTTATAATAAAAATTAATGACTGTCACAATACTGTCATTGCTGTATTTGAGATATGTATATAGTGCCGTGAGAACGGAGAAGCAGAGAAGAAAAGTCTTATTGGAAGCTCTGCACCATAGCCTTTGCATCTTAATCAGATTTCCCCTGAAGTGTGTTATGGTACACTTCTTTGCAAGAAGTCAGACCAAAATATCGCAGTAATCAGGTAGTAGATAAGCTGAAAACTGTCTATGGAATGGTGGCTGTCCCACTTTACAGAGAGCTGTCTCAGGCCCAGCTGCTTTGCCTCCCAAGATTTTTTTACAAGGCTACCTCTGTTCTTGAGTAGCATTGAGTAGGTTGAGTGTAGAATGACTTTCAAACATCATAATGGGAAACTACTACTCTGACAAGAAAGTAGATTTGACCTGGTTCATTGCTGTTCATCCCACACAAGATCATGAGGCAACCCTAGGGGTGACTGAAGTCTGGCCTCCCGTCAGACCTAGAGCTTCATGAACTCAAGAGGAATGATTTTGAAAACCCCCCAGGAGGTTTGGTCATCCTCTTCCTCATTCCTAAGCAAATAGAAGCATTTTGAGAGGACTGGAACCAATCTGCATAAGCCTTTAGCTCCATGAGCTTATCCACCATCTAATTTAGGGTTTAAAACCGTTGATTTACTTTCAAGCTGATTGTCAATTTAGACCTGACCTTAAGATTTCTCATAACTTGTTACTTGCTTTTTAACTGAATTTGTCAACAGTCAAGTTTATAAAACTCTACTGTGTTAGCTAGCCCATTTAAGGAAGAAAGTAATCCAAAAAATCAGAAATGTTCCCTAATACCAAATGTCCCATTTTTTTTATTGTGCTATCAAATGTTTTTAAGTTTATTTTTTTCCAATTTGTTTCCTTAGCTTTCAAAGTAATTTTTGTTTAAAATGAAAAATGAATAGGCTTGTTGCCATAATTTAATTGTGCTGAATTGTTTGGCCATAACTTTAGTGGCGATGAAGACCAGATTTTTGAGCTGGAGAATCTGTTCTGTTTGGATCTGACAGCTGGCTACATTAAATGTCTTGGAGATTTTTACTTTGCATGGAGATGGGGGGTTGGGAGGGTGGGAACCGCAGTAGAAGAAAGCAGTCCACTTTACTTAATGTTCTGCATTTGTTTGCTGAGTCCAGTAACATTGTGCAGCTGTTTGAACAGCTGCCTTTTGATTTCCTTTTGTTTACTGTTTAGATTTATTAAGCTTGCCTTTAATACTGCTTATTGTCTCTTCTTTAGCTTTCTTTTTTTATTAAATATATTTTAGTATGTTCTACTCTGCTGTGGTCTAGGCATATTTTAATAAGTTAATTTACCAAAGGAAGAAGTTTTAAAATGTTGCAGACCATACTGAAGCTGCTTATGCTTACTTTCTTCTTGTCCCTTAGCTTTATTATTGTAGTTATAGTATTTTGTAATTTGGCAACTAAATTATCTTTTGAAATTAAGTCAGAATTTCAGTCATGTTAAACCACTGTTTATGTTAACTTCTAAGTCTGCCAACAAGTAGCTTAGTCTACATACTTCAGACTACCTTTCTAAAAAAAATTGGCAGACTAATTGTAAAGTATGTGGATTTTGTTTTAACTACTTTCTGTGAACAAATTGAATATCTAGAAATATATACACACATGTACAAGGTAAAAAGACAAATTTTGTATTTATTTGTTAGTCTTCTTAGCCTATTCAGGTAGACTTACTGCAAAGTTCTTCAGTATTATGGGACTTTTTTTCTGTATTTACAGGTGAGGGACCTGTGCATTGCTTATATGCTAGTGACGTTAACTTATCTCTATATTGGAGTCCTGGTTTTTGCTTCATTTCCTTCACCACCATTATCCAAAGATTGTATTGAGCAGGTAAGGCATGGTGTAGCCTCTCTGTGTGATTGTGTACACTTTCATGTATTTATAGTAGGCAGGGTGATACAGTGGCAAGATATAACATCAGATAGACCTGGGTTTTAATGCCATCTCTGCTATCTACTCCAAGTATGGGAATTTAGGCACCTTCCCTTTTCTTTCTGAGCTTTATTTTTCTTTTCCATTAAATAGTACAATAAGTACCCCATTTGATTTTTAGATGGACTCTGAGATAATGTACTACGTGCCAGGCACCTTGTGGTACTCAAATAAATGTCTATTATGTACATATATTTATCTTTTTGTGGGGAACTGTTATGAGTAGTTCTCATGTAGTTATAAAACCTCACAGAAAATACATTGAATGAACTCCCTATTTTTTAAAGCCCACATCAGGAATGCCCTGGATAAACTAGAGTCTTAGTTTATCAGACCCTAATGATTAATCAGACTCTCATTCTTATACTGAGTGACAGGCACCATTGCACTCCAGCCTGGGAGACACAGCAGGACTCCGTCTCAAAAAAAAAAAAAAAAAAGAGTATTTGACTGTTAAAAAAAGAGAGAGAGATGTTCTATGAGTTACCAGAGGGTTTAAAAAAAAAAAAGAGAGATAGAGTAAAAGAAAAAAATATTTTAATAAAAGATTGCTGTAACTAATATTTTCTTTGATTTAACCCATCAAAAACTTAGCAGTTGTATAGTCTTTAGTTATAAGTGACTGAAGAGTTTCTCACAAAAAACAACATTTCGCAAGTGACTTTCTGGTCAGAAGAAATTCCTCTTATAGAGTGCAACGGAATATACATGTGATTTATTACAGCTGAATTATAATGGTTATTTCAGCAGAATAATGTTAATAGTGTTCTCATCTTTATAAGAAAAATAAGTTTGAATTACTGCTATTATGGCAGCTTGGACATGTTCTTATTTTCTTGATTTCCTTGACTCCAGAAGTTCTTTGGCAGCCAAATGTTTGCTGGAAATTTCCCTGATATGAACAAACTCATACAAAGCCTACTCCCTTGGGAATAGGAATATTTGTAATATTTGTATTTGAAAGAAAAGATAAAAATTCTGCATAATTAACTTTTTTTAAGATACCAAACCAAAATGGAGAAAAGGGTCATGAAAGGAAGAAGAGATAAATCCTTTTCAATTTAGCGATAAACAATGATGCAGTAGGTGATAGACATACTCTCACCTTATTCTGTCATCTTTACATCAAAAGTGCTTACAGTGCTTCAGAGGAGGAAAGCAAGAGAGCCAGAGAGGGTAAAATAACACTGAATTAAATTAACTCTTTAAATCTTTAAAGCAGACTGGTATTTTCCTTTAACCACATAGAGCAGTGCTTTCTCGATCTATCTGTGGTGACGGACAAAATTGTCTTTGCTGTTGCTTTAATGTTACATAAATTGCATGCTGATACTTTTGTAAAATACAATAAAATTGTGGCAATGTCATATTTCTGTAAAAGTTTCTAAACACTCAATTTCTATACTTACCTCATTGAAAAAATACTTAACAAGTAGTTGTGGATGGGCACTAGTCCACAAGTCACAATTGGAGTAGCACTTGTGTTCAAAATAAGCAGAAGACATTCCATTTTATGAATGTGTGTACTGAATTTGATTTTTAACATGACCTCATTATCTTTCTTGGATTAGAATTTTTTAGACAACTTCCCCAGCAGTGACACCCTGTCCTTCATTGCAAGGATATTCCTGCTGTTCCAGATGATGACTGTATACCCACTCTTAGGCTACCTGGCTCGTGTCCAGCTTTTGGGCCATATCTTCGGTGACATTTATCCTAGGTAAGGGCTCTTCTCTTGACCAGCAAGATGTGCCAAGCAACAAATGACTGTGCAAGCAGGTCAGTTTAAAGTGTGACTGATCCTTTTGCTATAAAAATGCCTAATGAAAGTGGTGACTAAAGATAGATCATTGGTGTCCTCTTCCCTGAAGAGTTTTAAAAATAGAAGCCACTCCCTTGTCTAAAATGATTTAAAGTTCATTCCTTCCAGTATAGTTAATTAGCTCTGATACCACTTATATTTATCTTATTATTTAATTGCTATTGATTTACATGTTGTCAAGAAGTTTATAATGTATAGTACCTATGTTGGCAATGTGTAGCTAATGAGAAGCAACACTTTTATTTTAACTATTGGTCATTGAAGCTATCAGGACCAAGGGAAAACTTCCCCTTTGCCCTCTGAAGGTTTGTTGAAAATGACTGACAAAAGGCAGATTAATAGGCAAAAAGGGCCAGGCTCAGTGGCTCATGCCTGTAATCCTAGCACTTTTAGAGGCCAAGGTGGGTGGATCACTTGAGCCCAGGAGTTCAAGACCAACCTGGGCAACATAGTGAAACTCCATCTCTACAAAATTTTTAAAAATTAGCTGAGCATGGTGGGCATGCTTGTAGTCCCAGTTACTCAGGAGGCTGAGGTAGGAGGAGGAGGATCGTTTGAGCCCGGGAGTTAGGGGCTGCAGTGAGCTGAGATCACGCCACTGCTCTGGGTGATACAATGAGACCCTGTCTCCAAAAGAAAAAAAAAAAAGCAGAGAAAAGGCATATAAATGTATTTGAATGTGGTTTTATGTTACATGGGAGCCTTTAGAAAGAAGACCCAAAGATACAGGGGAAATTGTCCATTTTTATGATTACGTTTATGTGAACAGCCATGTCTAATGCTAATAGACTGAGTGGGGAAACCCAGCAAGTCCCCTCTGTCTAGATTCTTAGCCTCTCTGAGCATGTGTTTTTTAATCTGAGTCTGGGGCAGGACCCCCTCTGTTATGGGAGTCTTATGACCTGCAGTCAAACAAGACAGGTCAGATCATTTCTTTATGGCTAGTTTTTACACAGAAATAGAGGGAAATTCGAGTGATATTTTTAGGTTTTATGGCCAGCTTGAGGGAAAATGTTTCCGTTTCCACGTTGGGGAAGAAGAGGGATTCTAGTTTCTAAGCTAGCTTCGGGAGAATGGGACTGAGATTCAGAAGGTCAGAGAAAAACTTTTGTTTCTAAGGCTTTCATTTTGGGGTATGGTTTTCTGAGTCCAACAATCCTTACTTTTATATTCATTAACATTTATGCAGTTTTACATAAATGATCAATTGTTAAGAATTGAAGGTCAGATATATAATTAATTTTTATTTGATATATAACAAGTTTAAATTACTGCTATAATTGTTAACCTCTTATTGGGGATGAAGGAGTTGTGAGTTCTTTTGAAAATCTGTTCGGCCGGGCGCGGTGGCTCAAGCCTGTAATCCCAGCACTTTGGGAGGCCGAGACGGGCGGATCACGAGGTCAGGAGATCGAGACCATCCTGGCTAACACGGTGAAACCCCATCTCTACTAAAAAAATACAAAAAGCTAGCCGGGCGAGGTGGCGGGCGCCCATAGTCCCAGCTACTCGGGAGGCTGAGACAGGAGAATGGCGTAAACCCGGGAGGCAGAGCTTGCAGTGAGCTGAGATCCGGCCACTGCACTCCAGCCTGGGCGACAGAGCGAGACTCCGTCTCAAAAAAAAAAAAAAAAAAAAAAAAAAAGAAAATCTGTTCAAAGCTGGTTACCCTCATCCAAGAGAAATTTCTATATGTCATTTCAGAGTTTCCCAGCAGTCTTCTTGTGAACTCTTGGCTAACTCCTACTCTTACATTAAGTCTTATTATAGGTTTATCCTAGTGAAAAGAACCTAATCCACTTTTATTAGGAATAAGTTCTTTTAAAGAAATAAAAATTTTAAATAAAATTTGAAAAAAAATTGCATTTACAGTAACCAACTAAACAAGTGGTCTTAATCAGTTCTTGTTTAAAATGAACTAATGTAGTCTGCTTCTTCAGTAAATAATTTTCGCCGTAAATATGTTGGTTTCAAAACAAAGCAAAAGTCAAGAGTTAACAGGTTCAAGCACTGATAAGTCTAGCAGCAGCTATAGTTCTAATATTATTATCCAGAAGATTGGAGCTTAGTAAGTGTAAGCCTCTGATTGTGTTTCTACTCTACTGTATTTATATTCATAGAAGAAAATAAATACAGTGAAGTCATAGATGAAAAAATGCTAAGCAAATACATTATTCCTGTTTTCTGCCATTATTTTGCAGAATTTTGGCTATCTTTACAAGAATGTTTTTTCTTCTTGGAAAAAGTCAGAGATTTCCCTTTTGTTTTCACATTACAGTTCTTCCCCTGCCACCAAGAACACACTGTCATTTTCATTTATCCAACAGTTACAAGTACTCTATAGAGTGTGCATACTTTGGAGCATAATTTTTGGTCTCAGGACCCTTTATGCTCTTAAAAATGTATGGACGACTCCAGGAGCTTTAGTTTATGCAAGTATAGGTATCAGCATTTAAATATTAAAAAATAGAATTTAGGTTCTTTTTGTTTTGTTTTTTGTTTTTTTGAGATGGAGTTTCACTCTTGTTGCCCAGACTAGAGTGCAGTGGTGCATCTCAGCTGACTGCAACCCCTGCCTCCTGGGTTCAAGCAATTCTCGTGCCTCAGCCTCCCAAGTATCTGAGATTACAGGCACCCACCACCATGCCTGGCTAATTTTTTGTATTTTTAGTAAGGATGGCGTTTCGCCATGTTGGGCAGGCTGATCTTGAACTCCTGACCTCAGGTGATCCGCCCGCCTCGGCCTCCCAAAGTGCTGGTATTACAGGCATGAGCCACCATACCCAGCAAAGTATTTTTAATTTCTTTAAAATCAATAATAAAACCATTACTTGTTAAGTAACATTTTTGTAAAAAAACACTTTTGGGGCTTGGATACCCCAGTCTCCATGATGTGATTATTATGTATTACATGCCTGTATGAAAACATCTCATGTACCCCATAAATATAAACACCTACTATGTACCCACCATCATTAAAATTTAAAAAAAAATAAAAATAACTGCTTTCAAAAAATTTTTAATTTGGACGTGCGTGGTGGCTCACACCTGTAATCCAAGCACTTTGGGAGGCCGAGGCAGGTGGATCATGAGGTCAGGAGATGGAGACCATCCTGGCCACCATGGTGAAACCCTGTCTTTACTGAAAATACAAAAATTAGCCTGGCGTGGTGGCAGGCACCTATAATCCCAGGTACTTGGGAGGCTGAGGCAGGAGAATTGCTTGAACCCGGGGCGGGGCGGAGGTTGCAGTGAGCCAAGATGGCACCACTGCACTCCAGCCGGGGTGACATAGCGAGACTCCATCTCAAAAAAAAAACAAAAAAAAAAAACAAAAAAAAACCTTTAATTTACATTTGCAAAACTCTAATTTCTGCTTTACTAGTAGACAATTGGATTCTCCTCTCTACTTCTGCATTCCATGTTATAATATGCTGTTTTCATTTAGATTTGTGAAGAAAATCCAGCCTCACATCATAGATAGTTGGAAAAAGAAAGAGTACTTTTAATAGCCTTTTCATATACTTCTGGATATTCTTCTTTGATACTGTGCCAAAACCTGACAAGTGGTAGCTTCTTATGAGTTGCAATGTGGAATCTGAAATTTGTTGACATTAAAACCAACTGGTCTATCGTGCACTTTGGATCTTTTACGCATGCATGATTTTGTAACATCTGTTTGATCATTTGGAAAATATTGGTTCACTGAGTTCTGTGGATCTTCCAAATGTTGACACACTTCATTTTACAATATCAAAACCCAATTTCATTAATACTATCACTAATTTCATCATAAGAGCCTTTAAACATCGTCAAGCTCAGGGTAGCAAATACAAGTTTTCCAAAATTCTAGTTTTTATTTGAAAACTTTAATTTTATCTTTGGCAACAAATACTGCCAGTTGTTTTCCTTGCAGTGACAAGCTTATATCATTCATTTTCTGGAAAATACCTGTCAAACACCTGAGTTTGAATGACCGTAGTTTGACTGCAATTGAAGTAAAAAAAGCATTTGGTAGGCAAAACAGCTAGGTCCTCCTCAGCTCAGCCACACAAGTACTCTTCCTCAGGACTTCCAGTGTACTGTACTGCAGTACACAGTAGATGTGCTTTATTATGACCTTCCTATTTGATCACATAGAATATTTAAAAGATTGTGTATTCAAACATGAGATTTAGCAAAATTAATGTTCTACTCCTTTATCAAGGACCTTGTTTATTCTTTGGAGAGTGTTTGGCAGTAAAGAATACAGTATGGAAAACATGGGTGTTAGCTGGGCATGGTGACACATGCCTGTTGTGGTCCCAGGTATTCAGGAGGATGGTTTGAGTCCAGAAGTTCAAGGCTTCAGTGAGCCATGATTGCCCCACTGCACTGCAGCCTGGATGACGGAGCAAGACCCTGTCTCTTAAAAAAATAATAATAATTAATAAAATTTTAGAAAAGGAATACAGATGGGTACAACTGCCTCCCTCTATGTATACAAAGTTGTTTCCTTTTATAATACAGAAATAACAAAGGCCCAGCCAATACCTCAAAGCTCTGAAGCAATTTTAAGGTTAGAGTTTCTGGGTAAACAATAAGATCTGTAAGCCTAATATCTTTCTAATTCATCAGGGTACATGACTAACCACTTATTTATATAAATAATTTTCTTTGTTTTTAATTCTCTCTGTAATCTTTATCTGGGATTAATTAACCTCTGATAACTTGGGCCCAACGGGTTGCTTTGATGTGTACATTTGGCTTTTGAGAATCATTTTCAGGGGAAATGGAGTTATTTCTTCAGCATCAAATTTTCATCTACATTATTTTTGTTTGTGTCCAAAATTGATTCCTAAACCTTGAATTGTTAATATCTAGTTAAAGTATTTAGTAAATATTCTGTTGACGGTAGTGAGTAACTTTAAGTTCTTTCTTTATGCTCTAAGTATGAGGTATGACCACTTTCTTTAAGTGGTTAAATCTGGAAAATAAAAACCTGCCCATTTTGTCTTTCCCTCTAATATAATGCTTTTAATATAAAAGTAATTTGAACACTTTATGAAAAGTTTGTTAAATATAGAAAAGAGGGAATGTTATCCAAAACCCCAAATTGTAACAAAATCACTACTGCCTTCTCAGTGTATATCCTTCTGATATTTTTTTCAAACGTTTTTGGTGTTTTCTTGTGTAGTGAAAACCTAGCTGACTTTTTTTCTGAATTGCCTAGATAGTATTTTACCTGACAAGGTAATAATGATAAGTTATTTTAAATAATTTTCAACATATTCTGTCAAGTAAATTGTTGCCTTGCTGTGTCCAGGATTCTTCTGTTTTTTCATAAATATCTTGATATTCATAGCATTTTCATTGTTTGGATTATTTTCTTAAGATATTCCAAATGGAATCATAGATCAAAGAATGTGAATTCTGATACACATTACCAGTGTGCTTCTACAAAATTTAACCAGTGTAATTCCACAAAAGAGCTAATTTTACTTTCTCATTACCAAAATTGAGGACTACTGTTACCTTCTATTTTTGCTGTGATTTTATCGAGCTTAAGACATATTTATTTTAATGATGTTAAGAATGAACTGTATTCTCATATTAGTCATTATAATTTGCCTGTTTTTGTATTTTTTCTTTCCTCCAAACTTTCTTCTCAACTTCTAGCATTTTCCACGTGCTGATTCTTAATCTAATTATTGTGGGAGCTGGAGTGATCATGGCCTGTTTCTACCCAAACATAGGAGGGATCATAAGGTACTGCCTTGTAAAGGAATGGTGCCCTTACATATATTGGTCTTTAGTTTTAGGCTTTTCCTGTTGTTGTCGTTGTTTTAATTTAATTGTATGAAATTCCTGTGAGTATTTAAAACTAGTAATATTCAAATACAGCCCCTTGGTATCAGTTAAGATGCTCATTATCTTCCATTTCTGTTTGTTCTAGTGAGGAACTCATTCTAGAAGCCCCATTATTCCTTAGCCTCAGGCATCATTTTCTTTTTCTTTTTCTCATCATCTTCCACTTTATTTCCTCTCTATATCCAAAATAAAAAGTCATTTTTAATATATGTATAACTTTGTGGGAGTACCTGGGAGGTCCTTTATTTGTCAAGGCTTCCTTAATCCATTCTAAGTTCCTTAATCCATTTCTACTCAAAAATATATTTCAGTGTCATTTGTAGTCAAAAAGTAAGAGTTTAAGTAAGAGTTTAGACCCTAGATGGCTTTCTTTAATATCCTTTTCCTAAAAACGTGACAGGATGAATAGAGTAGGAATAAAGTTGTACCTCAAATGCTCATGGGAAATTGGGATTTAGAATGATCTCATTTCTCTTACTATAGACAGCAGGAGTGAGTCATTTTTTTTGGAACACTCTTACCTAAGAAAGTAACAAGGAACAAGAGGAGGAGATTGTTAGCCTGTTGCTTATTGAATATAATGGGCTTACAAGTTCCTATTTAACTGTTCCTCAAGAAAACCCAAGTATAGAGAAAAGGAGAAGAAAGTGCATATTTCTCTGTGACAGTCTCATGTTTAAGTATTTTTGCTATTATCTTTCATATTCATGCTGAATGCCATGGTAGCATTTTTCTGTTCTCATACTTAAATGGGGATGCTAACAGTCCCTCAAAAACTGAGAAGGAGTAATTAGTTTATAAAAGATCAAAGATAGGAGGCCTAACTCCAGATATTTCTGAGGAAGTAGCCACAATCACCCAAACACAGAGGAACTACAGAGATTTGAGGGATGAATAAAAAGTCTTTGTCAATCTGATGCTATAAAGATGAGCAGGAAATCATATTTTATATTAACTTAGCAAGTAAAGTAAGTTTTAAACCCAGATGTTTTATGTCAACAACAAATGAATCAAAACTAATTTTTGTTGAGCTATCAGACTGAGGAGGATTTAAATTGTACTCTGTTTACCTTAATTGTAAATCAGAAAAAAGCAAAGTGCAAAATGAATATTAACCCCAAAAGCTTTTATTTTGCAGATATTCAGGAGCAGCGTGTGGCCTGGCCTTTGTATTCATATACCCATCTCTCATCTATATAATATCCCTCCACCAAGAAGAGCGTCTGACATGGCCTAAATTAGTCTTTCACGTTTTCATCATCATTTTAGGTGTGGCTAACCTGATTGTTCAGTTTTTTATGTGAAATACCTCAACTGTTTTTTCAAGAGCTCTCATATTTTGAGCCTTGACAACAGTTCTATATAAATTCACTTGTAAATGCTGCTGTTGTGTAATTCTAAATATTTTCTAAGATAATTTGAAAGAAAGGAAAATAGTGGCCCCTTAATAAGTATGTTTTTATTGGGGTGGGGAAAGGGGCAAAAAGAATGATCTTAGTGTCTTTACCTTTCTCATATTAACTCACCTCTTTATTCTGTGGTCTTTTCTAAATAGAAATGTATGCCCTAGGAAGAAATCATGCTGGGTTTTGCTTTTAGAGATAAAAGGTGGTGGATTTATTTTGCCTGCAGTAAAAATTCTCAGGGTGTCAGAGCAGCATATTGCCAAATCCTGCTTCTGTTTTATGTTTCAGTGTATTCACTTTCATTTTCTTACTAACTAGACCATTTCTGCAGTTTGCCCAAACCTCTACTGTTTGGGACAGTAAACGAAATACCTCATTTTTAAAAAGAAGTTTTCATGGCATCAGTGTTAATAAAGTACATTTTTAGCTGAGTCTTAATCTCTATTTGAAGAAAAAGTAGAGACAAAAGTAATGTCAATGTAATCCCCAGGATCATGAAATGTATACAAAATAAACAAAGTAGTAGAGTTTGTTGCTGTCTGACTCTTTTGTTTCTAATCCAGTACCAGTGACTTAGATCGAAATTACAGTTCCCCAAGCCAGATTTTGCATAGGAACAAGAATGGTTGTCCCCATAGACCCAGGGGGTGCTTTTGCTTTTTGGTTCCCTGAGATCCCAGCGTAGGCTGTCATGACAGACCCAGTGGGGAAAGCATGGCCGAGTGGAGCCTGAGAGGCCCACAGGGGAGAAGGCAAACAGAAAAGGGGCCAGGAAGGAAGAGGCCTCAGCCCAGCATATTTTGTGTCCTCTGGGGGTAGACTGGTTTCTGCACCACAAAAAAGGATTGATTTTGTTTGAGGTATGACCTTCAGAAAGAGACCTCCATCTGCTTACTTCTGTAACTGGCAGTACTATTACAGGAAAGAGGTCCTGATCCAGACCGTGAGAGAAAGTTCTTGATCTTGCGCAAGAAAGAATTCCGGGCAAGTCCATAGAGTAAAGTGAAAGCAAGTTTATTCGGAAAGTAAAGGAATAAAAGAATGGCTACTGCATAGACAAAGCAGCCCCGAGGGCTGCTGGCTGCCCATTTTTATGGTTATTTCTTGGTGATATGCTAATCAAGGGGTAGATTATCTGTGCCTCCCCCTGTTAGACCATATAGGCTAACTTCCTGACAGTGCCATGGCATTTGTAAACTGTCATGGCACTGCTGGGAGTGTAGCAGTGAGAACGACCAGAGGTCACCCTCATTGCTATCTTGGTTTTGGTGGGTTTTAGCTGACTTCTTTACTGCAACCTGTTTTATCAGCAAGATCTTTATGACCTGAATCTTGTGCTGACCTCCTCCTATCTTACCCTGTGACCTAGAATGCCTTAACCACCTGGGAATGCAGCCCGGCAGGTCTCAGCCCCATTTTACCTAACTCCTATTCAAGACGGGAGTTGCTCTGGTTCACACTTTGGACAGTACAGAGTTAAATCCCTGTAAGAAAAACTCCTTAAATCTGAGAAAAGGATTAAGGAATCTGTATCCTTGGAATTGACACTCTTCCTTTTTCTTCTGAACTAAAAGCTAAACTAGAATCCACATTCACGTTTTCCAAGTAATACAGCCTCTGTGTCCAGGTCAGGATACGACATGGGGATGTTTTTTTCTGAAAAAATTAGATTTCTCTAATTTTAAGCTAAAGTCTAAAAATCTGTTGTATGTTCGCCTCTCAGGATAGTGTATGGATTTGTGTTATTTCCTTCCTTTGAAAAAGAAAAATGGTTTTTGTAAACCTAGTAAGGAGCCCAGATTCAAGATCAGCCTTAGTTTATTTCAGCAAAGCTTTCTGTCCTATTCATAAAGCCATAGACCTATATTAATGATGAACCGTATTTCTGAAAGCTCTTTTGTGTTAATAAAAAGTCTCATTCTGAAAATCTCAAGCCCACACAAAAGTAATATGGAGTAATACGGTGAACCCTACAATGCCTATCCCCTAGATTTAGTAATTATAAAACTTGGCTGTATTTGCTTCACCTATCTTTTTTTTTCTTTTCCACTGAAATATCCATCTCAGATGTTATTTCATCACCACAAACCTTAATTTACAGCTGTTAATAATAGCCTTTTGAACATAGTTACATTGATGGAAATAGTCTCAAAAGTTTTTGTTCACATAAATTGCTGGTAGTAGGAGTTTGGTTAATTGAAAAATTCTGCAGTAGGTATCAGATCACTGTGTTAATTTCTCTTAGAAAAGGAGTATAATGAATGGAGAAAGTGCCTGTCTGTGCTTGAGAGCCCTTGAATCTTTATGATTTCAGAATCTTACTCCGTTAAGAGACATAGGATTCAAAAGCTAGACAGCACTGTGAGTGATCTAGGTTCAATCCCAGCTTATCGCCAGTCACCTTCCTTCTCTTTAAAAACTTTAGAAACAGGGCTGGGCACTGTGGCTCATGCCTGTCATCCCAGTTCTTTGGGAGATGGAGACAGTTTTCATTGCTGCTTTTTGATAATGTATTTGAATGTTTTAACACATGAAAAAAAGATTTGATGTATTTTTGTCCATTTAATGAACTAAATGAATATAACAATGAATGTGGTATTTACTAAACTAAAAGGTAATGTGAATCTTTGCTATTGTTTTCTTTAAAAGACTTGATGTGAGGCCAGGCATGGTGACTCATCCCAGCACTCTGGGAGGCCAAGGTGGGCAGATCACCTGAGGTCAAGAGTTTGAGACCAGCCTGGCCAACGTAGTGAAACCCCATCTCTACTAAAAATACAAGAATTAGCTGGGCATGGTGGCATGCACCTGTAATCCCAGCTATTCGGGAGGCTGAGGCAGGAGAATCTCTTGAACCCAGGAGGTGGAGGTTGCAGTGAGCTGAGATTGCGCCACTGCACTCCAGCCTGGGTAACAAGAGCAAAACATCTCAAAAACAAAACAAAACGAAAAGACTTGCTTGATGTGGGCACAGCGGTTCACGCCTGTGATCCCAGCTCTTGGAAGACTGAGGTGGGAGGATCACTTGAGCCCAGGAGTTCAAGACCAGCCAGGACAACATAGTGAGACTGTCTCTACAAAAAATAAAAAATAAAAAAAATTAACTGGGCACAGTGTCATGCAGCTGTAGTTCCAGGTACCCAGGAGGCTGAAGTGAGAGGATTGCTTGAGCCCAGGAGATCAGTGAGCCCTGATTGTGCTGCTGCACTCTGGCCTGAGCAACAGAATAAGACCCTGTCTCAAAAAAAAACAACTTTTTTTGATTAGATTTAAAAAAATTGGCTGGGTATCGTGGCTCACACCTGTAATCCCAGCACTTTGGGAGGCTGAGGCGGGCAGATCACCCGAGGTCGGGAGTTTGAGACCAGCCTGACCAACATGGAGAAACCCCTGTCTCTATAGTAAATACAAAATTAGCCGGGTATGGTGGCGTGTGCCTATAATCCCGGGTACTCAGAAGGCTGAGGCAGGAGAATCACTTGAACCCAGGAGGCAGAGGTTGCAGTGAGCCAAGATAGCGCCATTGCACTCCAGTCTGGGCAACAAGAATGAAACTCCATCTCAAAAAAAAAGAAAAAAAGGCCGGGCGCGGTGGCTCAAGCTTGTAATCCCAGCACTTTGGGAGGCCTAGACGGGCGGATCACGAGGTCAGAAGATCGAGACCATCCTGGCTAACACGGTGAAACCCCGTCTCTACTAAAAAAACTACAAAAAAACTAGCCGGGCGAGGTGGCGGGCGCCTGTAGTCCCAGCTACTCGGGAGGCTGAGGCAGGAGAATGGCATGAACCCGGGAGGCGGAGCTTGCAGTGAGCTGAGATCTGGCCACTGCACTCCAGCCTGGGCGACAGAGCGACTCCGTCTCAAAAAAAAAAAAAAAAAAAAAAAAAAGACTTGATAACTTAGAACTTCTAAAATATTGTATTAGACTTATGCTGAGTGACTTTGCCTTCTTAAGTTTCTTTTCATGAGATCAACTCTTTCGGCCTATTATTTGGCTTGGTCAGAGAACTCTTTGTCAGTGTGTATATCCTGGCCCACACATTAGAATGATGAGATATGAAGTCATTCATATCACAACTAATTTTAGACCTTCTTTGTCTACTGTCATCTCTTTGAATTTTCTAATTGAATTTATTTCACTTTTTGCTCTCATGCTTAACTTTTGAATTTAGCTTAACACACAACTGAGGATATTATAAAATAAAATATGGATTATTTAGAGGGGTCTTCCTTAGAAAGTCTATATATGAACATGAGGTATGCTAATAGTCAGAAAGGACAAAGAAAATTAAGTTTGACACCTGTGGGTGATATCCAAAATCAATTTTATCATCACACCCAAAAAATGCTTTGGCGTAAGGAATAAATTTATTCATAAAAGGGGACTATATTAAAGGGAAATATTTTATATTAAGTATATTAAGTATATTTTGCAAATGCAATGCAGCTACTAACTATAGAAGTAAAAGACTTTTCTGTCCAGTGCTTTGGAGGAGATAAAGATGTATAAGACATCATTCATATCTGAAATGAACTTTCAAGGCAATTTATGCTGAGGGCTATTAGAGAAACAGATTCCTTTCCGTTGGGAGCCTCGAGGAGGGTTGATAAAAGAAGCCGAGTGGTCAAGCAGCAAGGACCCATTTTCAGGTTTCTCCTAATAAGTATCCAAAATTTAATATTTGGTACCTTCATTAGCAAATACGATCATACAGGTTAAATGTATTTGCTTTTAGCTTGGTGAATTTCCTCTAAGATAAGTTTTCTACGACTTTTTTAATGCTTCTGTATGCTATTTATTCTCTTTGCATTTTGAACACATTGCGTTATTCTGTTAATCGTGGACAGCAAAGCACAATGGATTAATAGGGCAAATAATTAGTAACACATTGGGTGATGCAAACAGAAAAACGTATAAATTTTTCTCACCAAAGATTTGACTTATTTAAATATCAGTATTCAAAGTGTCAAATGTTTGAACTCAGTGATAACAGCAGAAAATATTGATATTGTATGTTTTCTTTACAAAGCACTGACCTAATTGCTTTTTAGAATTTGGTGGTGCCGTTTTTTGGTTTTTTTTTAACTCAATTTCATCCTCATTCAAATATCCAAAACCAAATCCAAATCTAGTCGACACCTAAACAATAGAATGTTACATTAATTTGTGATCCAAAGTGAAATTAATCCCCCACATGCACACAAACTGGCCTGGCTGGCCGGTTTTACAGTCCACTGCCGCCTTCACTTCAGATTATGTAAACACGTATTGTGAAACAGCTCTGATGGGAACCTTATAACCTAAACATTATTCTCTGAAATGTAATTTGTTGTCTTTTATATAAAAGAAGAAATTAAATCAAAGATAATTTGAAGGAAAACAACTCTGGGATTTTGTTTAACTGCATTTTGCTGGGAAATGTTATTGCCTGGTAGCACTGGCCCTGGGGTCAGGAAGAAGCTGGGTTCCATCTTTCACAGGGTCAAACTTCTCAAGTGACTTTGCCCCTGTGCCTCACATCAGGCCCC